AGCTTAAAGTTGGAGTAGTTCAGGGTTCAGGGTGAGGCAATAGAAGTAGGTTGCTAAAAGTAGTGAGGAAGCAGAGACTGTAGGCATTGAAGAAGTCACAAAACCCTAGTAGTTTGGTGTTGTTAAGGGGGGAGCAGGGGAGCATTCGAGTAGAACTAATAGAATTTATTTCTGGTCATATCATTCATTAAACAAAAAAATTTTTGAGCATCTGTCATATGCTAGGTGTATTATACCAGATATTGGGAAGAAAACAGTATACAGAACAGATCTGTCATGGAATGTATATTCTGGTGCACAATATAAAATGTCAGACGGTAAACACAACCTCCTTCCTCTGCAGTCCCTCTCAATTACGTCTGTGTTCAATAAAGAAAAGAAAACAGGGCTTTGTCTAATTAGAAATTGCATGGCATATGTGGTTAGGTGGTCAGACTATGCTGATAGTTCCATTTAATTTTATCTCATTGCCTTTAATTTTTTTTAACATAGACTAATTTGGATATTTTACCTTTTTTTTCCTTTTCATGACTTGATTTTATTTTAATCATCACCGTCAGTGTACCCTGTTGATATAAAATTCAATGTCCTGGCTATTTCTTGGCAGCTGGAGACTTAGCAGATAGTTTTGAGGTCTCTGGCCTTACCCTGAAGTTACTGGCTGCTCAGGTGGTTATTGGAAGTGGTGGAGTTCTCCACACACTCTTGGTCCTGCTCTGGCTCTTTTTTTTTTTTTAATCTCTGCATCTTAGCTTTTTTTTTTTTTTTTAAATTGTGGTAAAATACACACTAAAAACTTACCATCATAACTATTTTAAATGTACAGTTCAGTGGTATTAAGTACATTCACACTGTTGTACTACCATACATCCACAAGAACTCTTCACCTTGCAAAGCTGAACTCTGTACCTTATCAATCTTAAAAATAAAACACATAGTTGTTATAGCAGCGAAATGAGGTTATTCAGGAATAGCAGAGGAATTGCAGTTCAGGGCATGCAAACTATAGCAAACCACAAGCAAGTCCCCAAAACAAAGAAGAGGCCTATTCTTTTATAAAGAAAAGAGGGGGGTTGGGAAGGGGTGGTTTTTTGAGCAAAATCCATTGGAGGAAAGAGAGTTCAGGGTTATGGCTGCTTCTCATTAGGCTAGTTGTGGTGGCTTCTCATTGGCTGGGCTGTTGCTGGGCGAGGAGAAAAATCTTCCTTCCTCCAGCTGGGGTATGTAAAGTAAGCTTCTTTTGGATGGGGAATGCAAGGTATGCTTCTTGCTAGTGTCTCCAAGGGGCAGCAAGCAGTAGTAAGTGAGAAGCCTTCAGGGCTTCCCAACTCTTTTTTTAAATGAGGTTTTCTTTTATTCATTTTCACAACCTGTTAATAACTCCCCAATCTCTCTTCCCTCAGTTTATCTTTATATTTGAAATGTTCTTTTTCAGAAGAAAATAAAAACATTTCTTTTGAAATGTTTCTTTTCAAAAGAAAAGTTTTAATTTCAAAAGTAATTTAGCCATTTCTTTTTTAACCGATGAGATCTCACTTGTGTTTGTGAAATTTTTAAAGGCAGTAGAAGGCAGGTGTTTGTGGATTCTATGCCCACAAAATGAATAAGAACATAGAATTGAAGCCAGATTACCTGAGTTCAGTTACTAGCTCCTCCACTTACTACCTGTGTGACCTTGCAAGTTATTTGACATCTCTGTGCCTCAGTTTCCCCATCTGAAAAATGGAGATAATAATACTACCTATTTGTAGCATTGTGTTGAGGATTAAATAGTTAATACATGTCCCTTGAGAAACTTACAGTTAAATTATAGAGTAAGACATATGGATTTGGAAAATTAACAAATACTACAGTGTTATGGATACCAAACAAGTAATAGAGAATAAATGCAATGGAATTGTTAGGAAGCAGAGATCACTGAGATTGTGGTGTCTAGGAAAGGGTCACAGAGAATAATCAAAAGAAACTATCTACCGGCTCCTAACCCCACATCTTTACCAATATCTGGAGTTACATGCTCTACCTTCTCATCTCATCAGTCCATACTTCTTTTTCATCTAGAACAAAGATGCACTTTTCTGCTCCTGTCTAGATCCTGTGCCCCAGCTGGAGCCCTGAATCTCATCTCCTTTTGCCTGCTCAAGGACATTACTCTAGCATTCTCTCTCCTACGTCATCAGTTTCTTACTCTCTGATGGATTGTGCTGATTAGTATATCAGTATGTTGTAATTGCTCTCACTAAAAACAACAAATTTTTTAAGCTGCTTGACTCTACTACTGTCAGTCACCACCCTATTCCCATATTCCTCTCTGCAGGAAAACTTTCCAGAATTGTGCTGTTACCTCTCTAGTTCTCCTCCCCACTTTCTCTCTTAAACCCACTCCAATCAGGCTTTGCCCCTATGATCATACTAAAACTGCTCTCATCGAGGTCACTATGACTTACATATTGCTATATCCAGTGGTCAGTCCTTAGTCTTCATCTTATTGAACCTGTCAGCAGCATTTGACAGAACTGATCTTTCCTCCCTGACACACTTAATGAAACTTCCAGACTCCACATTCTTAAGTTTTCTTCCTGCCTTACCTGGTTGTCCTTTCCCAATCTTTCTGCAGCTGCAGACTACTATTATCTAACTGCCTACTCAACATTTACACTTAAATGTCTTACAGACTTACCAAACTGACATGCGCAAAACCTGAAACTCCAAATCTTCCCTGGCCCCCACCCCCCAAATGACTTGTTCTAACTGCAGCCTTCCCTTTCACTGTTGGTGAAATACCATCCTTCCAAAACTTCTTTTTCACACTTCTCCGTTGGAATTATCAGCTAATCTTGTTGTTCTACCTTTAAAGATACGCAGAATGTGGACCACTTCTTACCACCTCCACTGCTACCACCGTGGTCCAAGCCTCCACCATCTCTTGCCTAGATTTCTGCAGTAGCTTCCTGAATGATTTCACCTTTTTTGCCCTTGCCCTACAATCTGTTCTCAACTCAGGAGCCAGAATAATCCTGTAAGAGTATGTCAGGAGCTTCTCACCCTCAGCACTGTAGACATTTAGGCGTGGTGATCTTTTGTTGTAGGGTTGCCCTGTGTGTTGCAGGGCATTGAGGCAGCATCCCTGACCTCAGCTCGCTGGATGCGAAGTAGTGCTGCCAGCTCCAGGTGTGACAATCAGAAGTGACTCCACGTGTTACCACAGAATCACCCCTGGATGAGAATCACTTGTTTGTATCCCTCTTCTTCATGTTTGTCTGCCCCTGTTAGTGTATGTGCCCGCATAAACACATCACTCTGTATTTTCTTTCCTAAATTAACAATTTCTTTTTGTTCAAAAACAAATCTTTTGTTTTTTTAATGAATGGAGGAGGGTATTGCTAGATTTGGAAGGAGAGATGGGATTTGCATGGTTATGGATTAAGGGGAAGCAAAGTGAAGAGGGTAGATGGCATAAACCAAAGTACAAGATAAAGAAATATGTAGGTTAGGTATAAAGATAGTTTTTTTTAGTATACCAGCCTGGCTGGAATTAAGGGTTCAGGATTTGGTGTGGAAGAAGATACAGCAATAAAGATAGGTGGGAACCAGATGGGATGGTAGGTTTAAGAGTATGTACAGTACAATCCTATCAGAAATGGCGGGATCATTTAAGATTTGTGAGTCAGAGAGTTGAGAAAGATGAAAGTAGTATGTTAATGACAGACACCATGGTTTGGGTCACTCAGAATCCATTTCAGACTTCGTCTAATGTCCGTTCCTATAGGTTAGAGGCTGAAAAAACAACAGTTTCCAGATTATCTTCAGCAAGGCTTCCAGGTATGATTTAGTTTCCACCAGTCAGTCATAGGCACTTGTCTGAGGCTTGAATCCAGAACTGAGTTAAATAGGGAGAGAGGTGGGATATGAAGCATCCATTGTGCTAGAAGCCAGGCATTGTAGTTCTACAGCTAGTGTATAAAAACTGATTCATTTGCTCTTCTGGTCCCATATTACAGACAAGTCATCTCACACTCCAACAGGTAAGGTTAGTTTAATAGGCTATTTAGTAGCAACTATATTCTTTCTAAAGCAGTAATTTATTTGTAATCTAGGCTTACCTTTACCCAAATAAGTGTGTTTTCTAATATTCCTCCCAAGCACATATGTTTATAAACAAAAGTTGCAATTTGTTTAAGCATAGTAAAACGTGTACTTCCTGAAAATATCAGGATTTGCCTTTAAGTTAGCACTTTACATTTTAATCATTTTCTGTTGTTAGCCATTTGTTGTACTACAGTAGTAATCATTTAAGTCTAAAAGATTAAGGACCCTGTTTTAGTAGAAGGATTTCTAATTTTGAGGTTAAATCTTGTATCTTTTTAGGCCTTCCTGTATGTCCTTGTTGCCCAGTGAGGTTCAAAAGGAATAAATCTGGCGTTTTAAAAAATCCTTTGCTACAGTGTGACCCCTATTTAAAAACATGTAATTTCTACGACTCAGAGCCACAGATATTTTTCTTAACTGGGAGTTAATATATTAAGGTGTTTGCCTCCCTTGAAATGATCTTCAGTTATTAAAAGTGTTCTGGTCATGGTCCTAAGAGTTTTATACCTAAATTCAATATATGGTTGATCTTAGGAGTCTGGATCCAGCTTTTTTCCCATATTATGTTCAAACCAAAAGGTCCCTTGAGACTCCCTTCATTTTTACTGTATCACTAAACGCATGTATCACGTAAGATAAATACCAGATGTCATAACTCATTGTTTAAATTATTATTTAGCTTGTCTTCTCAGTGTTTTAAGATTTATACTGCATTGTATAACAAAAACTACTTCATGTTGTTCAGTGCTAATTCATATGTATGTAATGTACTTAATAAAATCTTTTCATGTTGGTTCTGTAAAATTTCTTAATTAACTCCTAATGGTGTAAAAATTCTTACTCTAACATATTTGAAAAAGATTGCTTAACATCCTATGGAAGAAACTTTTAATCTGTTGTTCATTTTGTAGGTTATTGAAGACAATGGCGTTCGAAGAGTTGTTGTGGTTCCTCAGGCACCAGAGTTTCATCCTGGTGGTCACACAGTCATCCATCGTTCTCCACATCCTCCTCTGCCTGGTTTCATTCCTGTACCAACCATGATGCCCCCTCCACCACGCCACATGTACTCACCAGTAACTGGAGCTGGAGACATGGCAACACAGTATATGACACAGTATCAGTCTTCACAAGTATATGGAGATGTAGGTAAGGATCTAAAAATATTCCTGTTTTATGGAGTTGGCTATTTTTTGCTTGGATATAATAGGTACTATTACTATATAAAAGAAACAAAAAATGGGAACAATATCACAATCATTTTCTGTTATTCAAACACTATGTTATGGGAACTCTATTCAATACTCTGTAATGACCTATATGGGAAAAGATTCTAAAAAAGAGTGGATACATGTATATGTATAACTGATTCACTTTGCTGTACACCTGAAACTAACACAACATTGTAAATCAGCTCTACTCCAGTAAAAATTAATTTAAAAACAAAACAAAAAAACACTATGTTAAATGTTTCATCCTCATAATCACCTTTCAAGGCAGATGAGTAAACAGAAAATCAAAGAGGGGAAGTAACTTCTGTCATGCAGCAGTATTTATTTGGGGACACATTCAAACAAGAGGTCTTCTTTGTCCTGCTGCTCTCTAGGCTCTGAGGAAATTTTTTAGCCAGGAATAATCATGCTGCTGTTAAAACCTGAAGCCTCTGATGCCACTAACCAAAGTTGCTAGGTTCTGTAAGATACGGAAAAAAACAGTAAGACATAACATCTGCCCTCAGGGAGTTTAAATTTTGGGAAGGACAGACAACCACACACACACAAAATAATAATCTTATTCTTTCCTATGGCTTTAAATACCGTCTATATACTGACAGTTCTTAAATTTGTATCTTCAGTCAAAACCTCTCCTCTGAGTCACAGACTTTTATTTCTAACTGCTTTTTTTTTCTTTTTTTTTTGACCATGCTATGTGGCTTACGAGATCTCAGTTCCCCAACCAGGGATTGAACCCTGGGCCACAGCAGCGAAAGCCCGGAATCCTAACCACTAGGCCACCAGGGAACTCCCGTAAATGCCTTCTTGATAACTCCACTTAAATTGTCTCATACATCTCAGTTATAGCATTTTAAAACATAAATCTCAATGATGGGACCTGCTTTTCTCTGCCATCTTCATCCCGATAGATGGTACCACTGTCCACTCAGTTTGCTCAAGGGAAAACCAGATGTGGCCACATTTGATTCCTCCTCTTTCAACCCCCACTTCAACTGGCATCTACTTTCAGAAGTTTCCCAAATGAATCTTTTTCTCCACTGCTCCTCAGTTCTAGTCCACCATCAGCTCTTGTCAGGACAGCTGCAACAACAGCCTTCCAGTTGGTTTTCTGCTGTCATTCTTGCCGCCCCCAACCATCCAGGCTCAGCCAGAGTAATCATTTTAAAATATAAATCAGACCATTCTTCTGTTTAATGGATTTCAGTGACTTTCCATTGCACTTAGAATAAAATCCTAAACCCTTCTCCTGGACCAGGATTTCTCAACCTCGGCACTCTAGACCTTTGAGGAAGGATGTCTTTATTGTGGAGGACAGAACTGTGCATTATAGGATATTTAGAAGAATCCCTGCCCTCTACCCACTAGATGCCAGTAGCACACACCTCCAGCCCTCACCCTGACTCGATTGTGACAACTAAAAATATCTCCAGACTTTCCAGATGACTCCTGGGGGCCAGGATTGACGCTGGTTGCAAATGGCTGCCCTGGACAAGATCCTGCCTTGTCCCACTTTTTCCCATGCATGTGCCCCACCTCCAGTTTTTCAGAACCAAGCTCTTTCTTGCCTCAATGCTTCTGCAAATGGTGTTCTCCCTACCAGAAGTGCTCTTCCCCCTTTTCCATGCAAGGCTTTTTTTTCTTTAGATTTCAGCTTTCAGAGAGATCTTCCCTAACCTATCCTTATCAGTCTCCAGCACTGAAACCTTTTGTTTCTTTCACAGAACTTAACACAATTTGATTTTTTTGTTCTTTTCTTGGATGTCTTTCTCCCTTATTTAACTGTAAACCACCTAAGAACTGAATCTGTTTTATTCATCACTGTTTTCCTTGCATTTAATCAGTACTTGTCATTTATGCTTAGTAAATCTGTAGAAGAAATAACTCTAAATACAAAATTTAAATTGTGTAGCACAACTTGTAAGTAGTAGATGTATTATATATATTATGTAATATATTACATTTTTTTCAAACTTATTTCTGTTGCCCAAGTAATGCATATTAATTCCATAGGTCTGAGTGTGGTTTGGTTTTCTGCATTTCTAACAAATTTCCAGGTGAGGCTCATGCAGTGGTCCAATGAACTTAATTTTATTTTATTTTATTTATTTATTTTTTTTTTGCGGTACGCGGGCCTCTCACTGTTGTGGCCTCTCCCGTTGCGGAGCACAGGCTCCGGATGCACAGGCTCAGCGGCCAAGGCTCACGGGCCCAGTCGCTCCGCGGCACGTGTGATCTTCCCGGACCGGGGCACGAACCCGTGTCCCCTGCATTGGCAGGCGGACTTTCAACCACTGCGCCACCAGGGAAGCCCCTTCACCTCTTTTTAATTGGGTTATTTATCTTTTTGTTGAGTTGTAAATGTTTTTATGTATTTTGGATACAAGTCTCTTATCAGATATATGATTTGCAGATATTTTCTCCCATGTTGTCTCTTTACTTTTTTGATGGTATCCTTTGATGCAGAAAAGTTTTTAATGAAGTCCACCTCATTTTCTCTTTGATTGCTTTGTATTTTTGGTGTCATATCTAAGAAATTATTATCAAATCCAAAGTTGTGCAGATATGTGCTTGTTTCCTTCCATAAGTTTTATAGTTTTAGCTCCTACATTTAGGTCTTTGATTCATTTTGAGTTAATTTTTGTGTATAATATGAAGTAAGGCTCTAAACTTACTCTTTTACTTGTATATATCCAAATTCCTGGGGTTTTATTTTAATATTGTGCATATCCTTACAGTATTCAAGAATATTATACTAATTTTCTTAAATCACTGATAAATTAAAACTTTACTGAGATTTTTGAGACTTTTCCTTTGAAAAATATTTTCCTCACTACAGATTTTAAATTTACAATGAAAATGAACTCTGAGGACAACTGATTTAACAATATTCATGAGGGTATTGATTTATATTATGTTGCTCTATGACTTATTAGAATGAATACATTCTAAGTCTCAGCCCTGAGTTTACAGTATCTGAAAATGTAATACTCTGTACCTAGATTCTGTTATTAGTTAACAGTCCCACTCACTTCTTTTTGCTGACTCTTAAAACCTTATTTTTTTAGTGATGATTTGCTTTTTTTGAGTCATAAGGGAATTTAGGTAGGTGGAGATTTTCTGTTTCCTAGTTGATATGTTTGAAGTTGAAAGAGATGCTAAAAGTAATGGCTACAAAAGAGTAAAAGAAGAACTGTACACAGCTCAGTTCAGCTCTTACTCCTCACCTGTAATAGTCACAGCATACCAGCAAGCTGTTTCTATGGAGATTAATAGTTGAGAAAGGAGGAAGGAAAGAAGTGTCTATAAGATTACAGTTATAATCAAGTCACAAAGCTTGGTTCTCTCAGTTGGTGGAGACACAGAAATAGCTTTGTTATGCAAGATTATTCTTTGAAATATTTTATAATACATAAGTTTTATATAATATAGATAGATTTATTTCCTGTTCTTTTCTCATGCCATAAATGGGTTTGGAGACAGTGACCTTTTTAAATGTCTTATTTTTTATTTCTTCTCAGATGCCCACTCTACACATGGAAGGTCCAACTTTAGAGATGAAAGATCTAGTAAGACATATGAACGTTTGCAGAAAAAATTAAAGGATCGCCAAGGAACACAGAAGGATAAAATGAACAGTCCACCATCATCACCCCAGAAATGCCCTTCTCCCATAAATGAACATAATGGGCTTATGAAAGGGCAGAATGCTAGTGGTGTAAACATAGGATCAGCAAAGAACAAGTCAGGAAGGGGGAAAGGTGGTGCACAAATTGATACAGAAATAGAAGGTAACTATTTAAAATACAATATATTCTAATTGTACTTTTTATCATCATTTAACCTACTAAAAGTATATTCTAACCTTTCAGTCATTTCATCATGCTTCACATAAACTGTCGATTAATAGCCTAACACTTCTTAAATGTGACAGGAAAGTTTTAGAACCTAAATTGTTACTAGGGTATTTCTTTTTACATTTTGGGAAAGCTCAATTAATAATTTCACCTATATCTAAACTTTACTAACCAAGAGAAATTTCTCTTTGATAGGAAAACTCAAAGTTCATCCAGATTCCTTTCCTTCTTCTTTCTTTCTTTCTGGACCTAGATAAGGCTATGCTGATTTTTATCAAAACTCTTTAATCCTCCCAGCTTCTTTATACACAAGTCCTTGATAGCAACTAGTTCTGTCATTCACCAATCTATTTATATACTCTGTAGTTAGGATAGAGTATTGTCCGTTTCTTTCTTCAAAAGTTCTTTTGTTTCAAAATCCCCATGTTTCCCTTGGATCCTTCCTTCAACCTGTGACTTTCACCATATGAACTCTGAGCATTACTTCCTTTTCTTTAAAATTTCCATTCCCCATCAACAAATTTAATGCTTTAACAGCCTCTTGGCTTGCCTATTAACGTTTATCAAAATGTTCTCCCATATTTTTGAGACCTTCTGATCATTCTTTTCAGCACTGATGTTTCAGAAGAGTTAAGCTAAAGTTTCAGATACATCAGTGGTGGCTATAAGTTATTGTCAAGTCAATTATAGTCCTATTTTGGGAACCACAGTTAAGGCATGTCATGAAACAAATACTTAGTTAACTTGTCATTAAGAGGTATGAGATTGGCAAATAAGAACTTTCCAGAGAGAGAATATTCTTTACTTTTTTTTTTTAAGTAAAGTATAAAAATATACTTTCCGTAAAACTTATTGACTAGTTCAGATGTATATAGTGGTATTATAATTAGTAATCATGGTTAAAGCAGACATAGAAACTGAGGCAGAAGAACTCTAAAGAGCCACAAGCTGCTGAATATGAACTAAGAGGTAAAAACCAGACAATAAAACTCAAATACCAACCACTTGGTATATGTTTTAGAAGACATATTGGGAAGGGAGTAGGATGATTGCATTTAGGTTCATTTTTTGTTTTGTTTTGTTTTGTTTTTAAGAAAAAGATGAAGAAACTAAAGCTTTTGAAGCACTTCTTTCCAACATTGTCAAACCAGTGGTAAGTATCTTATGTATTTTCTTGACATTTATATTTAGTATATTCATATAGGATTTTGGTATATTCAGGCCTTGTTTAAAACTTAACTATATGTAAGGAATGGGTCAGTAGTGGATCAGTACAGATCTGACATAAGGTGAGATAGGTTAATCAGTGCAGCAGAATACTCAACCAAGAATTTTTAAACAAGGTTTTAATATATGCTCAATGACATTGGAAATGACTGGACCAAGCAGAGATCTAATAAGGAGTGTAGGTACAACTGATTATCATTTTTTTAAAAACCCATTTATATTATTTCCAAATTAAATATATCCAATTAACTCCATATACAAAAAGAGTTAAAATCAAACCATAGAAGAAAGTTAATATTCCCCAGTCCTTTTTTTGTGTAGATGTAATAGAAGAAATCAGAAAATCAGAAAAAGGTATGACAGCAAAACTGGCTACATCTGCATATTTTTAGAATAGCCTAAATAAAGGCTATCATTCTAATAGAAAAAATATTTCCATCAGATAAGAAAAAGATTAAAGTGCTTGTACAAACGGAATTTTTTTTTAATAAATGTATTTATTTATTTTTGGCAGCGTTGGGTCTTCGTTGCTGCACGAGGGCTTTCTCTAGGTGCAGCGAGTGGGGGCTACTCTTTGTTGTGGCGTGCAGGCTTCTCGTTGCAGTGGCTTCTCTTGTTGCAGAGCACAGGCTCTAGGTGCGCAGGCTTCAGTAGTTGTGGCTCGTGGGCTCAGTAGTCATGGCGCACGAGCTCTAGAGTGCAGGCTCAGTAGTTGTGGCGCACAGGGCTTAGTTGCTCCACAGCATGTGGGATCTTCCCGGACCAGGGCTCGAACAGCTTTTTTTCAAGAATGGTTTTGATCACTACCCAACAAAGACCACAAGCTTCCTCAAAAGTTAAAATATACTGTACATAATTCAACCACTTCTATTTTCATGTTTGCCTACTACCATTTAGTCTTTGTCAGTACTCACACGTATTTTTACACGGTCATGTCTATTTTCAGCTACTGTCTAGAAGTGGATTCAGAATGGAAGGATTGTGGGAACTTCCCTGGCAGTCCAGTGGTTAAGACTCCACACTTGCACTGCAGGGAGTGTGCGTTCGATCCCTGGTTGGGGAACTAAAATCCTGCATGCCATGTGGCATGGCCAAAAGATAAAACAATTTTTTTTAATTTTTTAAAATAAAAAATGGAAGCATTGTGTAGCAAAAAAAAGAACTGAATTATTCAGGCCCTAGTCACTAGTTGAGTGACCTCAGACAAGTCACTTAACCTTTCTGAATGTGTTTCATCTATGAAATGAAGATAGTTATGTCTGTTTTGCCTGCTTTAGAGCATAATTATAAGGATCAAGTGAGGTGGATATAAAAGGAAATTTTACTTCTAAAGTAGCATACAAATAGAAGACATATTTCAGATGATTTCTGTATCTGTATTTTTAACCCTCATTATTCACCTCTTTCTCTAGAACCACATTTCCTGAAGCATCCTAAAGAATACCCAAGTTTGTATGTTTTGCCAACAACTAGAACTTCATCTAGAAAACCAAATTCTTCATCATTTTTCCTAAACTATTTTCTCTTCTCCATTGTTCCTCTAAAATAAAATTGGATTAGATCCCTTTAGTTTTCTAATTTCAGTATTTCCATCAATGAACACTTACTCATCCAGATTTCTCTGGCTCACAGTATCAGTATTATCTTAGATTTCTTCTTTACCTTTAATTTTCCCCATGCCAAACTGAATTGCAAGCTTTATCCTTTTTTTCGCTATAAATTTCTAGGATCTACTTTTTCCTGGACACACACACACACACACACACACACACACACACACTCGTCTTTACACAGGAATTTCACAGTACCTTAATGGCAGTCCACTTCTCTTTCTTCTTTACAACTGGTTACATCCTTCTGAAACCAGCACCAGAAAACAGCATTTTTAGGCATTTTTCAGACTACATTCATTCTCCTTGATCTCTCTCCAGTGTTTGACATTGCTGATCATTTCCTTGTTCTCCTATCATCCTTTTAATGGCCCACTATCTCTCTCTCTCTCTCTCTCCCCCTTAGTCTATGGTTTTCATGAACATGAAATTACTAGGTAACCTTTAAAAATACACACTCACACATGTTCCAGCAGCTTACCCATTTCTTTTCTACCGAAATTATATCCCATCCCAAATCCTTCAAAATTCTATTCAAAATTCACTTCTCATGAAGTTTTCCGCAGCAATCCTAGTGTAATATTTTGTGCCTTAACATTTATATGCAAGTAATAAAATATCTTTTTTAAAGAATGAGTTGGGACCAAGAGTTATTCTGTAAAAATAGATTGTCTAGCAGTGTGTCTAATTTTTTTTTTTTAAGCTATACTTGGTAAATTCAACATAGTATCCTGGAAAAGTCTATTTAGTTTAAATTTTAATTGATAGTATTCTACCAGTGTTAATTTCTTAGTTTTGACAGAAATACATCATTATATAAAATGTTAACATTAGAGGAAGCTGGGTAGAAAGTATACAGAACTCTGTATCTATACTATCTTCCCAACTTTTCTGTAAATCTAGATTTATTCCCCAAAAAAAGCCATTTTAAATATACTGTATTTGATTAATTAAGGTAAACAGATCATTTCACTCATTTGTATAGATGACACCTGGAACCTAAAAGGTTGAGAGTTTAGTATCACCAAGCAAATTAGTGACAAGTCTTCTGTCTCCCTGCTTAGTCTTTTCTCTATTGCCTATACTTTTGATGATGTAATCAGTACCCACAAAGCCTAATAAGCTTTATAATGTAGATGCCAGTTAATGCTATTAACTTACCTACCTTCAGAATACTGTTCACTTCCCTGTTCTCACAGTTTTAACACAGTTATGATCATCCCATAAAATCAAGAAACTCTAAAGGGTACAGATATATGTATGTTAACAGTATGTTTGTTTAAAAAGGAAAGAAAACCTTACACAGTTACAGATTAATAGCCAGATGGACACTGGTTAAAACAAGGAATCACTTTTAAGTCCATTGTAAATGCAACATAGTACTGTACTGAGACTTTTTAAAGACAGCATGACAGTAAATATTACATTTCCTGTGACTCAGCAGAAGCAAAATAAATACAGTAACAGTCTTCTAAACTTATTCAAGCTTTGAGAGCTTTGACAAGGAGAGAAAGTTATGCTTGTGTATAGACTGTTTATTCTGCCTAATTGAAGATAGGGGCTTCATCCTAGTAGTTAGTGGTTTTGTTTTGTTTCTGTTTGTTTTATTGTCTTTGACTAAGATAGTCATTAAATGTAGATAATTTTAAAGCAAGCTTTTACATTAATGTCTGGGTATTGATATAATCTGATACCTTTCTTACCAATCTTTAGTTTAAATCAAATCCCTAGACTTTTTTTTCCTCTTTATTAGACTTTTTTTATAAAAGTAATCCAAAATGTAAAAATGCTATTAAGACCTCCTGTTTTTCTCTCATATCTCTCTTCATCCCACCACACATACTCACAAAATCCCCAAAGGTAAGGATTAGTACATTTTTACAGTACATTTTCAGATATTTGTATGCATTTTTTAATTTCTTTAACACAGCTGAAATCATAGCATATATATTGCTTTGCAGCTTCCGTTTTTCCTCTATTACATAGCACCAGTATATTGAGGATCTCTTTAAATGTCAGCACGTACATGTCTACCTCATTATTTGAACACCTGCATAGTAATATGTTAAGAAGCTATACCAATTTCCAGTTTCTTGCCACTATTAAGAGTGCTGCGACGAGTATTCTTAAGGGTGTATATTTATGTACTTATGTAAGTTTACGGAATATTATCATGAAAAAAAATTCCTGGAAGTAGAATTCCTGAATCAAAAAGTAAACACACTTTAAATTTTTATAATGGTTCCCAAGTAGCTCTACATAGGGATTGTACCAATCTATACTCCTATCCTCATTTAAGAGACCACCCATTTCTCCAGACCCTCACCACACTAGATATTAATCCAGTATTTCATCCATTAATTAATTTTAATCTTCCCTAACCCAGTGGATGAAAAGTAATATCTTGTTTTAATTTACATTTATTTAATTATGAATGTAGTTAGATATATTTTATATCTTTTTATTTTAAATATTATTCAGTTATATTTCTTTGGACAGTCCATGTCCTTTGCTCATTTTTCTTTAGGCTTTGGCCTTTTTCTTATTGTTAGACACTTTCTAAAGTGAGGAAATGGAACCCTTTCAAGCATGTTACAAGTGGGTTTTTTCTGCCCTTCTTTTGACTGTATATGATGTTTACACTAATAGTTTTAGACAGCCCCAAATGGTCTTTAAACCTTTGTTGAACCTATCTGCCCTTGCACAGCAAATTGTATCTCATCTACAAAAGGACAGGTTTCTATTTGTGAGCCATTTTATGTAAGTAGATATATTTTATTTAAGCTTGAAACCCCATTAGATTTTTTTTACTGTTTGTTGTACACATTACAGTTGTTTCAGAGAGCTTTCAAATATTATGTTTTTGCAGGCCTCAGACATCCAGGCAAGGACAGTAGTACTTACCTGGTCACCTCCTTCCAGCCTCATTAATGGCGAAACAGATGAGACTACTGTACCAGAGCTCTATGGTTATGAAATTCTGGTCTCAAGTACTGGAAAAGATGGGAAATATAAAAGTGTATATGCGTAGGTATTTGTTACGTTTTACTCCCTGCCATTATATAAGTTAATGGTTTATCAAAAACAGCTTAAAACTAATTATGTGCTATTTTCCCTCTTCATGCTTTTATTTTGACTCTATAAGTTGACCAGTGGTAGTAATTTCAATGTAAATAGTCCAAATGCTGGCTGGTTCACATTTCTGTCTACACTCCCTTGGAATAATCACTTTCATTGCCCACATTCAGCTTTTTTATTTTTCAGTAGGCTCCCTAATAGATATTTCACTATTCACGTATTCCTGAGACATAAATATAAATTGTAGTATGTAGAAGCCAGGACCTGAAATGGAGAACTCTTACACTGTGAACTCATGCAATGTGATATTGCTCCTCTAGGGAGCTGGATTTAATTCTTATATGTACAAGCTCATATCCCATTGTAAAATGAATTTAGTGCCATTGTTCCTCATTTGTGTGTTGGTATGTTAATAATCATACTTTGAAAAAATCATAGTTCTCTTTTCTTGGTTCTAAAGCATATTATATACCAAGAAGCCTTAGGAAGTATCAGTGGCTAAAATTGTGACGTTTATGATTGATGGTTGTAAAATAAATTATTTTTCTCTTCTTATTCATATAGAAATTGCTTATTCTGATGAAAAAGAGTAAAGTCGATTACTAGTTAAAATTTCACCACCAGGAAGATTGTAAAGGATGTGGTTAGCCATTTGAATGATCATTATTAACACACAACACTGGATACATCAGCCTTCTTGGTATCTTTTTTCAAAAAAATAGCTAGTGTGGGGAAGAAAGGAAAGAGAAACTGCTCCAGTGACTGTCATCTAGCAACATAAGGTTATAAAAATGTCCTATCTCCTTCTCTCTTTTGAGACTTCCTTGTGTTTATTCTATTTCTTTTTCTTAAAAGAGACAAAACCTACCTAAGAGGTAAACAGAGGGTAAAGGAGCATCAACGTAAAGGTTTCTTTTTGTGTTAATGGCTGTTCTAGTTTGATATGGCTGCTTTCTAAGAGGAAGGATTTATCTCCATTTGCAGCCTGACCAGAGAGCACAAGAGGGACATTAGTCAACCTTAGTCACCTTTTTTACCCTGCACCAATTAAGGTCTCTTTCTGAGGCTGCTACTACAAGGTGTACTTCTATCAGTGAGACAGGTTTCCTTTCTCATACGATTCACTGGCTTTGATTTGAGAAACAGGATAGCTGTGGAAGGAAAGTGGGAGGGAGGTGGGAGGTTGGAGGAAGAAGTCCATAAAGTGGAAAGGAGAGAAACTTAACTGAAGGAAATGAAACAGAGAACAGTGATTTAAAAGAAAAGGAAGAGAAAACAGGCTAGTTTGTTGGCTACATACCCAAATAATAGTTGTATCAAATGATTATTTAAGAAAATATGTGCCATTATATTTGAAAATTTAATAGTGGCCATAAAAAATGCTTTACCTTAAATTATGATTCAGTTTTTTTTTATCTACTCATTAAACTGTAACATTTTAAATAAAGTTCCATGTTATATTTTAAATAAAATCCAGTAGTGGCAGACTCCTTGTAGAAATTTGGTAGGTTTGATTTCAGTAGTACATGTGTTATTTAGCATTCTAATTATATACCAGTGGATTTTTAAATAATTGAAAATGGTTCTGTTTCTTCAGTAAGCTAAGTATCTTCCCTAACTCCACAGGGGGGGGAAAAAAAAGTCTGGCTTACACAATTGATTTGCTTAGCATACCTTTTTGTTTTAAAGTGGTATTCAGGTACATGCTTAAGTTCGGCATATATCTTAATTACACAAATTGCATATTAGTGCAATCTGAATGTGGTTACAGTTGGAAAAGTAAGAAGCAGTATAATTTCATAAAGTACCACAAACTGTAGTGTACATAATACATATCCTCTGGAATGCTTTATCATACAACGAAATGTTGCCTTTTTTTCCCCCAGAGGAGAAGAAACCAGTGTCACTTTAAATGATCTCAAACCAGCTACAGATTACCATGCAAAGTAAGGAATTCCTATATGTTGCTTTTATATGATATAGCATAGGGTTTGTTTGTTTTTAATGATTTCCTTAAAAGTCTAGAATATAATTTAAATATTAATTTTGGATTAAAAACATGGGTTTTGTGGACTTTGATTTTTCTTGTGGTATAATCATCAACACTTTCCAAAAAAAACAAAAACATTTAACTCAAATGTTATAATGAAGTGGTAAATCACCCTGTTTGTAGGACCTAGGGATTAGAATGAATATACAGATAATATGTATAATATAGCTGTAATATCTAATTCAGCACTGGAAAATTGTCCCAGCTTTTGAAACTTTTACAAAACAGAATCATAAATAATATTTGCTACTTACGTATTTTTACTCCGTCCTATTTTGTACAAGTTTGGGATATTAAAACTCTGAGAATTTCATAACATTTAATTAGGATAACTTAGATACTACTGTTTTGTTCTGCACCGTTCTTCTTTTATAATTTACCGAAATTATTTTATAGACTCTAGGGTCTCCCCAGCTGGGACTCAGTATAACGATTTAGTCAGTCACCTCTTTTTAAAAATAACACTTGTAGTTGGGATTATTCCTATTAAACTATTAAATTAAGTCTTCAATTATACATCCTATGGATAAACCCAAAGTATCATCCAACCTAATATTTTTCAAACTGTGGATTGCAACCATTATTGAATCATAAAATTAATTTTGTGGGTTATATTCAGAATTTTTAAAGTTAAATATCAAATGGAATAGAAAGTATCAGTATATTACCCTAGTTAAGGATATTGTTTCAGGGTACTTGTGCATGCATGCGTGTGTGTGTGTGTGTGTGTGTGTGTATAAATGCATATCTCAGAGACACAGTCACAGTTTAAAATGTATTCTTACTTTCGGCAGTCAGAAAAATATGAAAGCCCCTGGCCTATTCTATTTTTCTTTCTTTTAAGGGTCACCCTTTATTTCTGATATGCATATTTTCTCAATAGAACATTTAGAGGGCATCTTACTGACTTGCCCGTACTTAAAGGTGATGCTATAGAATGGGAGGATACAGTGATTCTATCTGCAGGTTAAAACAATTTATTCTATCACCTTAGAGTCCAGGCAGAATACAATTCTATAAAGGGAACTCCTTCCGAAGCTGAAACCTTTACCACCTTGAGCTGTGAACCTGACATACCTAATCCACCAAGGATAGCCAATCGGACCAAAAATTCACTCACTTTGCAATGGAAGGTAAGAATATTTTCTAGAGTATTTCCAACTGGACATTTGTTTTCCTTTTTTTTCTTCTGTAGTATTAAACTTCATTTGTTTTTGGAGACAAAAAGGTTTAAGCTAAATTGCTCTTGCTCTTCACATGTATTAAATAGGCATTTGTTCCTTATAAAATAACACTCTTATTAGTGTTATTAACACTCATCAGTTTTTCTTACTGATGTATAGCAGAAAAGATTGATTTATAATTAGCAGCCCTTATACTGAATTTGTGATGACACTGCAATGTGTAATTCTCAGGCTCATTACTACTTTCTATAATACTCTGTAATGACACCTTTATATCCTGAATTTTATCCTAAAATGAGATTCATAATAACTAGACTCATAGTTTCTAAAATATTAATATGTCTTAAAGGAGGAATAAAATTATTTTTAATAGAATAATATATTTTTGATATATAAATATTTGTGCCCAGCTACACAAGAAGATGTAATGAGAATTGGTTATTCACACACCACAGACATCATTGTCATTGGTGACATGATTTTCTGAAATGATACCTAGGTCTTGGTAAATTTTTGAATAAAATTAAGTACAAGCTTTCCCAACTTGCATAGTAGTTGCATTTGGGGGAATACAGTAACTGTTAAAACTATACCACAAATACCTTGTAAAATGGAATTAGGGTCTAGGCAGTAATAATTATAAACAGATATTTCACCTGTATGGATGTCCAGAAGCACATTCAGAAGTCCTAGAGGAAAAGAACAATTCTTCATTGTACTGAAATGAAGGTGAAATTCTTTAGTTTTAGAGTGATTAAATACTGGGGAAAAAATGACCAAAAAAGCTGAAATTTTCACCACTGAAAATTAACAGATTGGTGAATTAGCAGTCTTAGGCGGTTGACACGTGGAGTCTAGAAGCAGAGATCCAGACAGTATGCCCTCTTGGAGTTCCTTTCAGAACACTAGTTCTTTCACTTTTTAGTGTATTACACAATATCACTTTCAGATTGTAAGTTGAGTTTTAATGAAAATGACAGGATCTATCCCAGGAGCTTAAAGCTGATAAAACCTTCTGATAAAAGGCAGTTTATTTATTTATTTTTTTAAAGGATTATAGGGCTTCCCTGCTGACTCAGTGGTTAAGGATCTGCCTGCCAATGCAGGGGACATGGGTTCGAGCCCTGGTCTGGGAAGATCCCACATGCCGCGGAGCAACTAAGCCCGTGCGCCGCAAGTACTGAGCCTGTGCTCTAGAGCTCACAAGCCGCAACTACTGAAGCCTGCACGCCTAGAGCCTGTGCTCTGCAACAAGAGAAGCCACCGCAGTGAGAAGTCCGTGCACGGCAACAAAGAGTAGACCCCGCTCGCCGCAGCTAGAGAAAGCCCACACAGCAACAAAGACCCAACACAGCCAAAAATGATAAATTTTTTTTTAAAAATTATAAAAGTTAAGAGATCTTGAGAAAAGAGATTGTTCAGTGTTCATAAAAATTTGAGTAGCATCTTGATTTGTTTTATTTTCTTGAAGTTAAAAGGATTATAGGATACGCATGTATTTCTGTATTCTCTGTGCACATTTTTCCAGGGCTAAATCCCAGAGAACATCTGCAACACACAATAGATGCCTTAGATTGGATCGTCACAATATCTTTTATAAAAGTACTAATTTGTACTCATTTTGTTTGTTTTTTGGTGTTTGTTTTAGGCACCTAGTGACAATGGTTCTAAAATCCAAAGTTTTATTTTAGAATGGGATGAGGTAAGTACATTTAAACTTTTTAAATTAGGCTAAAATGTATGCATATCCTCAGGCAGAAATACCTTTTTGTTTATGAGTCAGCTGATGGTGTTCTTAGAAACCATTACTGACCAGACTTCCCAGTGTTCTAATTGTTTTCAACTAAACCACCATCAAAGCTATCACTTGGTTAATTAACTTGATGGAATATTTTCTTTCACATCAGCCTTAAAGGCAAGCATGTTCATTTACTGTGACTGCTTTAACAAATTACCACAAACTGAGTGGCTTAAAACAACACTTTTATTCTCTTAATAATTCTCGAAACCAGAAATCCAAAATAGCTTTCACTGGGCCAAAATCAAGGTGTCACCACAGCTGTGCTTACTCCAGGGACTCTAGAGCAGAACGCATTTCCTTGCCTTTTCCAGCTCTGGAGGCTGTGCTCATTACTTGGTTCATGGCCACATCAGATTGCCTTTTCTCCCCCTGCTGCCATTATCACATGGCCTTCCTCTTCTGTCTTCAAGTCCTTCTCTGCTTCCCTCTTAAAAAGGACACTTGTAATTCCATTTAGGACCCACCCAGATAATCCAGGATAATCTCTCCACATCTCAAGAGCCTTACCTTAACCACATTTGTACAGTTCCTGCTACCATGTGAGGTAACATTCACAGGTTCCTGGGATTAGGATCTGGGTAACTTCGGGGGCTGTTATTCAGCCTACCACAGCAAACATACTGGGCTTTATTGTTTAGTACTTTGTTTTACTGTCATTTATATATATCATGTTCTCTTTTGCGCTGCTGCTTCACTGCAGCTAAGAGGAGGGGCCAGAGGGAGTAGAAGAAATTCCACTGATAATTTGGGAATTCAAATTGAGGCACAACCCAAGTAAGTTTTATTCCAGAAGGTCTAAGAGAATTCAGAATTAGGAAGTCTATTGCTGTATCATAGTAACTGAGAAGAAAAACCATATCATCTTAATAAATTATGACAGATATTTGATAAAATTTATCACCCATCTCATTTAAAACTCAAAACAAATTAGGAATAGAAAGGTAATTCCTTATTTGACAGTTTTGTATTAAGTGCAGTACTATCACTAAACAATAAAAGCGCTTCTAGTCAAAGCAAATACAAGTCAAAGTTGCCAGTTTTCCCCACCTTTATTTGACATTATTCAGGAAGTTACAGCTAATACAGTATGATTTGGAATCAAAACAAGAGGTAGAGCTATGGTGGCTGGGCTGGGGGAGCAAGATTATCATTTTTTAGAGATGACATGATTTTCTATTTAGATAACTTGATAGAATCAACTATAAACACGATTAAAACTAAAATTAGAGTTCAATAAAGCAACCAGATTCAGACTAAAGATATTCTTTGAAGCAAAGGTCACCCTAACCACCCTTTACCTCTACCACACAATAACGAGAAATGGGTAGAAAATAAAAAATGTGTTGATTTTATGTAGCATCTTAAATTTCTAAAACTCTTCAGTTGTCCTGAACTGCAGACTTTTCTCTCTCCCATCTTAATGTCTGTAATGGGATTTTTCTCTCTGTTTATACTCTTTCAGTATTAAATCTAAGCAGTAGTAGTGCCAAAATCTTTAAGGAAGTTTAGCAGCTATCTAGGTGGTTTGGGGATGGGTAGGGACCTTTTCTTGAAACTGTTTGCATAGAACTTTTCATAGGCTGAGGAAAGCTGCCAGTTATGCATATCAAAGATCAACCTATTTCCACCGCCGCCAGTCCCCCCATAGAGATTGTGGGATCCATACCTGGAAAGAGTTTCTTTTACTAAAAGCCAGAGGTTAAGCATCAGCTATGAAACAGGGTGCTTAGTTCAAGAAGCTATACAGAGATGCCTGCTCTTCAGTTTTTGAATTCTGCGTTAATGAACAGTGAGTATCATATAAAAGATGTGTTATCTTAGACTTCTCTTGAGATTCATGACATGCATGTAACAAAGATGATTTTTAATGTACACTAGCTAATATGTTACTATCAATTAGGAATTAATGTGGATTTCTTCTTACAGTAATGTACAATGATATATAATAACTGTTTCTTTTAGGGAAAAGGAAATGGAGAATTTTGTCAGTGTTACACGGGCTTACAGAAGCAATTTAAAATTACTAAACTGTCACCAGCAATGGGTTGTAAATTTAGACTATCAGCCAAAAATGACTATGGTCCAAGGTAAGATACATTTTAATGTAGATATTTTAGACTATTCATTTGTATAAATTATTCACAGTCCAAATTATCCACTAAAAATTCTGCCTTAGTTATCACTTCGTTGCTATAGTTAAGATGTGTTACTAACCTAGCAAAGCTATGAGAGAATTTGTTAATTACATAAACTGCAGTTTTAAAACAATACTAATTCACTTTTAGGTATCTGACCTGGTTACCATAAAGATATTACCAAATCCAAGATATATTACTGGATTATAATTAGTTATCAAAATTATCATTTGCCCCAAAAATGTCACTTATCAAAATGAGTTCTTTGGCTATAAAAAATAACTATTTTTCATTCCTTCTTAAAAACCATTTGCTTCAACAGTGGTTTTAGTGAAGAAGTCTTATATTACACCTCAGGCTGTGCCCCTTCTATGCCAGCAAGTCCTATATTAATTAAAGCTGGGGTTACTTGGTTATCCTTACAATGGAGTAAACCCTCAGGAACACCATCAGATGAAGGAATTTCTTATATTTTAGAGATGGAGGAAGAAACTTCAGTAAGTATGTATTTTAAATATGGTATTTAAAACATTTCAGTGTGACATTAATCCTGATACAGTAAATATTGCCACAATAGTTAGATCGTTTCCCAGATGCTTTGAAACCTTGGTTGGTTACTGTTTGGGAGGGACTGGAAGTGAGGGACAACTCAGCCTTTTGTTTTCTTGATGTGTTGGAGGGGGTTTTGGTTTTTATGTGTGTTTGGATACATTTTATGCCTGGGAACAACACAGACTACACTTTAAGTATATGTGTTTTGGGGAAAATAAAGAGAGGGAAGGATCACCACAACCTTAGACTAAGCAACTCTAAAAGATAAGAAAAGAGAATGTCTCCCTTCTCCAACTGTGTTCATGCATTGCTTCTCCAAGTGCCACAGAAACTTTGAAGAGCCTCACAGACTATATAGTGCAGCCTGAATCTAGTTACCAGTGTCTCATCTCCTGTAAGCTAGACCTGAGCTAAACAAGAGTTAGGCTGTCTTCTCCTAGTTATATATAGTTCCATAGCTTTTCAGAGTTACTTTGAAGCAATATGAGTCAAAACTGGCTTGGTCCATAGACAACTAATGAGAACATACTGTATAGCACAGGGAACTCCATTTAATGCACTGTGGTGACCTAAATGGGAAGGAAATCCAAAAAAGGGGATATATGTATATGTATAGCTGATTCATTTTGCTGTACAGTAGAAACTAACACAACGTTGTACAGCAACTATACTCCAATAAAAATTAATTAAAAAAATAGCTTGGTCCATTCTAGGTGTATACCCAGAAGAATTGAAAATACATGTTTGTACAAAACTTTGTACACCAATGTTCACAGCAGCATTAATCATAATAGCCAAAATGTGGGAATAACCGAAATGTCCCCATCAACTGATGAATGGATAAACAAAGTGTAATATATCCGTGCAGTAGAATACCATTCAGCCACATAAGGGAATGGAGTACTGACATATGCCACAACATGAATGAGCCTTGAAAACATTATGCTAAATAAAGAACCCAGTCACAGAAAACTGCATATCGTGTGATTCCATTTCTATGGGTATAGGCAAATCCATAGAGGTAGAAAGTATATTGGTGTATAAGAAAAGAGAGAAAGTGACTGCTAACCAGAAAGTAAAGTACAGGCTTTATTCTGGAACTAGGAATTAAACAATGGTTTCACAAGCTTGTGACTATACTATAAACCATTGAACTTTATACTTTAAAAATGGGAATTTTATGGTTTGGGAATTATATCTCAGTCTTTTTAAATTTTAAAAATAACATTGGGAAAGTATAAGCATTGTCCCTGGGGCTATAAATAATGCCAAACTAAATAATGCCAAACATAAGTGACATCACAACCTGCCAGCACAACCAACTATTCATCTATTCACCTAAATACAGTTATGTGTTCAGGGAAAGTTAAATATGTTAAATAGTTATGGTTTTGTTTAGCTCTTGCAACATCTGTCTGGGAAATTCCTGTTAGTTCTAGGGATAAGCTTACTGATGGTGATGTTACCATTGTCTCTCATTTTCCCTCAACACAAAGATCTTCTCTTGGCTACTGTATTTACTGAGAATAAGTGGTCTTCCCCATCCTCCTACAAATGTTCAGTAGCATTTCTGGATCTGTCTACTCAAGATAGAAGCATCAAGGTGAAGATTACCCTCACCCAAGCATTAATCACATTGCACATAACAGAAGATGAAGAGGACCTGAGTCTTTTCACATATTCCTTATTCCCCATATTTCTGCTGTTAGACCTCTAATGAAGACTTATTTTCCCTTTCCAGGGATATGGTTTTAAGCCTAAATATGATGGAGAAGACCTTGCTTACACAGTGAAAAATCTCAGACGTAGTACAAAGTATAAATTTAAGGTAAGCTTTGAAAGCCCTTGAAAGATTTGCTTGTTGTTCTTATTGTTCCTGTTTTAAAGGCAGGTACATGCCTCACTCCTGTGGGATTTTTTGGGTTTTTTTGCGGTACGTGGGCCTCTCACTGTCGTGGCCTCTCCCGTTGCGGTGCACAGGCCCCGGACGCGCAGGCTCAGCGGCCATGGCTCACGGGCCCAGCCGCTCCGCGGCATGTGGGATCTTCCCGGACCGGGGCACGAACCCGTGTCCCCTGCATTGGCAGGCGGACTCTCAACCACTGCGCCACCAGGGAAGCCCATTCCTGTGGATTTATTTATTTATTGATTGATTGATTGATTGATTGATTGATTGATTGATTGCGGTACGCGGGCCTCTCACCGTTGTGGCCTCTCCCGCCATGGAGCACAGGCTCCGGACGTGCAGGCTCAGCGGCCATGGCTCACGGGCCCAGCCGCTCCGCGGCATGTGGGATCCTCCCGGACTGGGGCACAAACCTGCGTCCCTTGCATCGGCAGGCGGACTCCCAACCACTGCGCCACCAGGGAAGCCCCCTGTGGTTTTAAATCTTAAATATTTTGGCCTTTTCAAATGAGCTTTAATAAGTTTTACTTTCTTACTATATAATAATGCTTCTCAAACTTTATTTAAATTCAAAACAGTCTCAATGTTTTACAGGAGGCTTATTTGCAAAACGTGAACAAAACATCTTTTAAAATGTGGATGTCAAAAAAAAATGTGGATATCATTGAACATAGTCAGAATATGCTTTTTTGGCAGGTATATCAGAAAAAAGTAATGATATTTTAATGCTCTATCTAGTGGTGCACAGTTTCAATTGTCCAGTCACTAGTAGTTACTTGATGAAGGTGATATCTACCATGTTTCTTCATTGTAAAGTTGTTCTTTTTCTCTTTGTAATAAGTATTTTGTGAATACTCTGTAGACATCTTGTTCCTCATCAAAGTTTCACCCACTAGTTTTAACACCCATTGATAATTCTTGCCTGAATCAGTTATTCAGTAATCATGATTAATGGTTGCCAAGTGGTGATTTTTTTAATTTTATCATTCCTTCTACATTTATTAATTTGCATTATACTATAAGGAAAAGCTTTCTTTTCTCATTTATATCAGTATGAACTCATGGATTCCTGTTTACTGAGTGGGTTATATTTTGTTGCTATGGCTATCAGTTATGAGGTTCAAATTGTCTTAGATTTGGGAGCTCTTGTCAGGCTGACTTCTGAATTTTTTTGACATGTCCCCACCCCATCATTCTTTGAGCCCACCCTTTCTGGAACATGGTATTTCATTCTCATCTTGTACTTTCTCTTCGTCAACCTTGATATTGGCCATTTCTCAAAGCACCTGGGTCCTTTAAGTGGACAATGGTATTTAGAAGTCAAGATCTGGGTAGTAAGTATACTTAATGCTATAAGGGTATTGGTACTCCTGGGCATCCTCTCAGTGGACAAGGCTAAGAACTAGATGTATGTGTGTTTGTCTTGTGTGTGTGTGTATACACACATACACAATTTACATGCACAAACACATTTATATTCTTATTTCTAGAATATCTATTTTTAAAAATCATGAGTTTGCACCAAAAACCTCCATTTAATCTAGTGCCATGGGTTAATTCTAATTTTCTCCCTTTCCTTATTTCTAACTCCCATCATCATCAGTGAGAAACTTTGCCCCACATATGTTCACAATATTTACTTATTGGATGAAACTCCTCCTCTTTCCTTTATATCCTTCCCTAGAGTCCTATTCAGGGTGCTCAAGTTTCTACTAGGCAGACGCTGCTGCTTCCACCCAACCTACCTCATGTCATTCTTGCTAGCTTGAGGCCTGGAGACTCTACATCTTGCTCACTTGAAGCAGTAGCAAGCTTTGAAAATTCTTCTCCTATGGAGACTCCTGAAAATTCTGTATCTTTCCTAGTATTTCATCCATTCTAGGATATATTTTAACTCTGACTTGGTTGGTGATATGCATTGCTATTTCTTGGTAGACAGTGCTTGAATTAGCTAATATACCAGTTAATATAAGCCAGCCTACATTTTTATGCAGAGGTTTTCCCCAGACTGTAACAGGATGCTTATTAGTTGATAAATTCAACATTTGAATTTTCCTACCATTGCTTGTTTAAACAACTTATTTCAAATAAATGATAAAAGCCATCGTAAATTGTTTTCACTATTAAAAAGCAAAAGATAACTTTTATTACTCCTTGAGAACCTATGAAAGAAAATTTTAATGATAATGGGAAATTCGATTATGCAGTGCATAATGATTATATTTGTCATGCTTTATTTTGTATATTAGCTTCATTTTTAAAACTTCTGATAACACTGGGTCATTTTAATTTTCAAATACAGTTTTTATTATTGACAAGATTTATAAAATACCTAAGAAGTATTATGTACATTTATTCTAGTTTTCCTCTTATGGTGTTGGATTGCATTTTTGCTTTAGGTAATGATTATCATACCAGCAGATCTTCAAAAGAGAAGTTGTTAATGTCTTTATAATCTGCTAAATTTATTTAAAAATTCTGGGGGTAAGGCCTAGCAATCTGTATTTTAGTAGGCTCTTCAAGTGATTCTGATGCTTGTGAAAATTTGAGAACCACTGATCTAGAGGAGGGAAAAAAATATTAGGAAATAGAAAATGGTGACTGTATGAAGTTTTCTAGAAGCTCAAACATTTATTTTGAATCTGCCATGCACTGGGTGCCAGCTGAGGTGGGGTTGAATCATTAAATCCTACTTCTATTGTTTGAGTCTTCCTTTCTAGCTTGACATTTGCAGTCTCCTCTTTCAAGCAAACATATCAAAATAAAATCTTAACACTCTAAAAGAAATCATAGAATACTAAGCAAAAGCAATAAAAATATTATAATGCAGGAAGTAGTGACTAAATAGTATATTATTGTTTGTAAAGAAACAATAAGGATACGATTAACATAAAATTCTAATTTGAGCAAGTTTACCAAATGCCAGAGTTCTAGGTTGTACAGTAAGGACAATCCTAGGACACTCAAAATACTATAACAAAATTAGAACAAAAAAATTTAAAGGACAAAAGAAAAATGAAAATAAAACTTTAAAGCATAAGAGAGCAATGAGAATTCTTAAAATCATTTCAAATTCAGAGTGATAAACAACTGAACAATGCTAATTCCATCCAGTGGTTCACTTGGAAGCTGGGCTAGGACCTAGTGTCCAGATTTTCAAGAAAGAGTTAAAACCGTCAGAGACTAGTGGCCAGTCCCTATGACTCTGGGCCACTAGAAAACTAATGCCTTATTTCCTGAAGTTCCTGAAAAAATATGTTTTCAAGTAGCAAGGCTTCTAAAAGTCAGGGTCTGAGTACCTTGAGCTGAGAACCCTTAGATACCTTTACTTCAGCTTGTTACTTGTTTTTGAGGCCTTCTCACAGGTGAAGAGAAATCAAAACAGTATCTGGGTCCATCAATTTCACTTATCTTCCATCCTTGAAATTTGCTCATACATCAGCATCTATGACAGTACAGAGTCACGTTCCCTCTTCTTTCTCATCTTGTCTGTTGTCATTTTATGATGTCTCCCTTTCTCCTCTGCCCTATCTAAGTGTGGCCCAAGTTTAGTCCTTAGTTCTACCTGGAATATCCCTTTCTGCCTTGGATATATCATCTCTTTGCCTTATGCGAGCTGTCATTTCTGTCCTAAAGAGTACTAAATCTCCAAACCTGTTCTGTATCACTTTCAAGCTAATTGCTCACCTTCTAATCCAAGTTATATTTTATACCTAATCTGTCTGAAACACAGCTTTGCCTCAAAAATATAATTTCCTTAATTTGCTATAAGGTTCTTTATATTCCAACCCATTCAGTTTTTTAACTGCACTGCCTTTCACTTCTTACTTGAACTGGCTCCCTCACCACACTGAATACTCATCCTTCCCTGAGCAGAGCTCACTATTTATTATTCCCTTCTGCTCCTGTACTCACATCTTTCTATTCTCTCTTACCCAATCTTCCCCTTTTCACTGCTGTTGTCTGTGAAAACCCAGTTATCACTTCCATTTGCTTTTTCAGAGCCTTTCTGGACCATTTTAGGCCATAGTAATCTTTCTTCTGTTGCCTAATTCTTTTGATATGCATATTGCCTGTCTGCATAGAATCTGCACAAAGATTCTAAACTCTGAAGGTAAAAAGTGCACCACACCTAGAGTTACAGTGCTCCCTCTGTGGTGGACAATAAATGAATGCTTTGATTATTCGTAAAATTTGGGGGAAAATACGGTTTTATACCTTACTGGCTAACTGAAGTAAAAGGCAGTGCTGACATATATAGCTTTAAAAACATAATTAGTGGACCTTATGGTTTTTATGGAGTCTGCTTTTACTTTAAAAGCTTCCTCAGACTTCCCTGGCGGCTGGGGGGCGCGGGTTTGATCCCTGGTCGGGGAACTAAGAGCCCGCATGCGGCACGGTGCAGCCAAAGATTTTATTAAGTATATAATTTAAAAATAAGAGCTTCCTCTGGAGGGGGCACTGTAGGGGTAGGGGACTAAGAGGTACAAACTACTAGGTATAAAAAAATAAGTATAAAGACATACTGTACAACGCTGCCATATTTAAAATGGATAACCAACAAGGACCTACTGTATAGCACAGGGAACTCTGCTCAATGTTATGTGGCAGACTGGATAGGAGGGGAGTTTGGGGGAGAATGGATACATGTATGTATATATATATGGCTGAGTCGCTTTGCTGTGCACCTGAAACTATCATAACATTGTTAATTGGCTAAACTCCAATATAAAATTAAAAGTTTTTAAAAAAAAGACATTGGGACTTCCCTGGTGGTGCAGCGGTTAAGAATCCACCTGCCAATGCAGAGGACACGGATTCGAGCCCTGGTCCAGGAAGATCCCACATGCCGCAGAGCAACTAAGCCCGTGCGCCGTAACTACTGAGCCTGTGCTCTATAGGCCGTGAGCCACAACTACTGAAGCCTGCACACCTAGAGCCTGTGCTCCGCAACAAAGAAAAGCCACCACAATGAGAAGCCCGTGCACCGCAAGAAAGAGTAGCCCCCATTCGCCACAACTAGAGAAAGCCCGTGCGCAGCAACAAGGACCCAACACAGCCATAAATAAATAAATAAATTTCTTTTTTTAAAAAGACATTGTACAATACAGGGAATATAGAAAATATTTTATAATAACTATAAATGGAGTATAACCTTAAAAAATTGTGAATCACTATACTGTACACCCTGTAACTTATACATCAACTATACTTCAGTTTTTTAAAAAAATCTTCCTCTAGTTGTGAGGTTTAAGTAAACACTGTACTATGTTGAAAGTGTTTTGACCCCCTTTGAAGTCTAATTTGTAAAGCAGCAGAGTGAGAAAACATCCTGAAATTCTATCTGAATATGTGGGAGGACTGATGAGGAAGCCTGAGCAAAACTGAACAACTGCACTAAATTTTACTGAGTTCTCATGGGTTGCATGAGTTATTTGGGGTAATAGATTTTATTTAGATCCTCGTCTGTAGTGTCACGTCATAGTGGTCCCCACCTATGGCTCATTCATTCTGCCAGTAATTATTGAGCATCTGCTCTATGATAAGCACTCTTCTAAACAGTAAGAATTCAACAGTGATCAAAACAGCTAATATCCTAGTGGAAGGAATAGACGACAAACAAGCAAACAAACATTAGATAGTGATAAGTGCTATGCAAGTTAACTAAAATAGGGTGAGTTGACAGAATGACTGGGTAGTCGAGGAAGTTCTGGAAATGACAGTTAAACAGATCTGAATAACAAGAAGGAGGTGGCATGTCAAGATTAAAAAGAACATTCCAGGCAAAGGAAATAACTGCTAACGTAAAAGACTCGAACCTTTCGAGTGGAGGTAGTCAGGGGTGGAATCACATAGGGCTTTGTAGATAAGAATTTAGATTTTATTCTGGTAAAATGAGAAGCCGTGAAGCTGAGAAGTGATAAAGTCCCTCTGGCTGCCATGTAGAGAATAGATGAGGTTAAGGAAAGGAATGGAAGCTGAGAAACTAATTAGTAGTATGTTACAGTCATTCAGCAAACATCAAATAAAGGAGGCTTTAACTAAGGTTGTGGTAGGTATAGAAAACAGAGAAGTGGAGGTAGAGTACAGGATTTACTAATAGATTTGACAAATAAGTTTAGAGAAAGGATCAAAGATCCTTCTAGATTTTTGGCTTGAGTAACTAGGTAAATGGTAGTAGTGCTTATTACTGATGGGGAAGAACAGAGATGGAGCAGGTTTGGAGAAAAAATCATATCAAGTTTGATACTGGACTTGAGGAACTTTAAGTTCAGTAGAAGAGACAGGTAAAAATATAAACATAGGGCTTTCCTGGTGGCTCAGTGGTTAAGAATCCGCCTGCCAATGCAGGGGACATGGGTTCGAGCCCTGCTCTGGGAAGATCCCACATGCCGCGGAGAAGCTAAGTCCATGTGCCACAACTACTGAGCCTGCGCTCTAGAGCCCGTGAGCCACAGCTACTGAGCCCCATGTGCTCTGAGCCCGTGCTCTTCAACTAGAGAAGCCACTGCAATGAGAAGCCTGCGCACCTCAACGAAGTGTAGCCCCCGCTTGCCGCAACTAGAGAAAGCCCATGCGCAGCAACCAAGACCCAATGCGATCAAAAATAAGTAAAATAAATAAGAATTTTAAAATATATATGTAATTAAATTTCTGAAGTGAAAAATATAATTATATTGAATAAGTATAAATTATTATAAATATGAATTATATTTATCTATTGTTGCACAACTTAGCTTGAAAAAATGAACATTTATTTAGCTCACAGTTTCTGTGGGTCAGGAATTCAGGACAAGCCTGGCTGGATGGTTCTGATGCAGGGTTTGTATGAGGTTGCAGTCAAGATGTCATGTGGGGCTACAGTCCTCTGAAGGCTTGACTATGGCTGGAGGATGTGCTTTCAAGTTCACTCAAGTGAACTTTTTGCCAGGAGTCCTCAGCTCCTTGCTGTCTCTTGGTCAGAGGTTTTAGTTCCTCACCACATGGGCTTCTCCATAGGGAAGCTACACATACCATCATTTCTTCTACATTGTTTGTCAGAAGCAAGTCATTAAGTACAGTTCAAGGGAAGAGGAATTAACCTTTATCTTTAAAGAGAGGAAATTCAGAGAATTTGTGGGCATTTTTTTAAACCCCTGAAGAATAATAAAAGAATAAGTTAAAGCAAGCCTAAAGCCCATCAAGTATCACCAGATTATAGCTTGTTCCAGTGATGACTCTTGTTTAGTATCAAAATGTTAGACTTATACTTATATTTTCAAGACTGATTCTAAAAGGGGATTATTTTATACCTGAATTTTCTTCATATATGCTAAGTCCCTTTTTTTTGTTTTTGTTTTTATTTATTTTTTAAATTGGGGTATAGTTGTTTTACAATATTGTGTTAGTTTCTACTGTACAGCAAATTGGTGTTCCCTGTGCTATACAGCAGGTTCTCATTAGTTATCTATTTTATACATATTAGTGTATATAGAGACGTAGATGGATCCCTTTTTGTTTTTAATGCTGAGTCCCTTTTGAAGACAAGCAATTCTCACATAAATCATTTGACTGAGCCTAGTTGTCTCTCATCACTTTTGGTCGTTAAGCCAATATCATTAGGTATCAAACATTAATTATTTTATGTCTTTGTGTTCTCATCATAGGTTATTGCTTATAACTCAGAAGGTAAAAGTAATCCAAGTGAAGTAGTTGAATTTACTACATGCCCTGATAAACCGGGAGTACCTGTAAAGCCCTCAGTTAAAGGAAAGATACATTCACATAGTTTTAAAATAACTTGGGGTAAGATATTATGCATACTTGTATATCATTACCTTTATATTTGATTAAAATGATTTGAATATTTAGATCATTTTTAAGATACTTGAATAAATTTGTTAGCTCAAGTAAGTTCAGTAAGAAATGTGAGACTCATTTACTGTTTTGAGGATGGCTTTGTAGTCACACATACTAAGTTCAGATTTGATGGAGGAAGAACTTGGGGTCCACTGTAGAACTTTGAGCAGGGGCAGCAATGTGTGAAATGAAAGATTACTGAACTTGTAGCTACAGTTTCTTGTCATCCTGGTTTTCACGAGAAATTAAAATCACTTATTCATTTAAAACAAAAATTAATTGAGCACCTGCTTATGTACTACCTTATGCAAAAATGAGAGTAAATGAGATGCTGGAGTTAACTTTTTAAAAAATCATTGCAGGTGATTCTTCTTTCTTTTAGAGCAATCCTGAGTTTGGTATTCTGTCTATTATGAGTTTATGTGATTTTTTTAATTGTGTATACTCTGCCTAATAACACTTTTGCTTCTTTGGATAGACCCACCAAAAGACAATGGAGGGGCAGCCATCAATAAATATGTAGTAGAGATGGCAGAAGGTTCTAATGGTAAGAAAATCTATTAAAAATTGATATTTATACCAGTCTACCTTTACTCTTCATGATTTTAAATTTTGTATAATCTCTTTTTTTTCTCTTGATTTTTTCCTTTGTTTGTAGCATTTAAGATTTTGTCTATTATGACCCACTTTAAGTTGTAATCTCCAGAAATACAGTGACTCAAATGCAAGGCTGCTGTATAGCTATATTATTTTCTTATTTTTTTCCCTCCTTTGTTTGCACTACTCAGTTCCAGTATACCTAAAGTCTTCTGAAGGTTAGCTTACTCAGTTAGATTTATACCCAGATGTATCAGAAAAACCATCTTCTAAAACTTAACTTACATTATACTAGTTTTAGTAATAAATTCTTTGCCTAGTAAAATTTATTCTTGAATCACACATTTAACAATCTTTATTTCTATCAAATGGCCTATTTCCTTGCAAAAAATAAGGATGTCTTTTAATTAAGACTAAACTTCCTATGGTATTGGTTCTTTCTATTCTTTGTGTGTTATAATGTTATTACCGGCCCAGTAAACACATTTAAAATGTTTAATTAAAAGTAAATTATCAATCTAAGCCAAAGTCTGTACAGAGTTACAGAGATATTTCACTTCAACAAAGCCATACAAATTTGTCTAGGAAGCTGCACACATAAAGAAAATTAGATCATTTCCAGGAAACTCAAAACAGGCTTAAATTGTTTCTGACAAATTACATAAACACTTACCTAGTGAATGAAGCTAGGATACCTGCTGTGTCTATGATACCAAAATGTTAAACATTACCTGGTACCTGATTGAACATAATTCTTCACCTTACAGGAAACAAGTGGGATATGATATACAGTGGAGCTACTAGGGAACATCTTTGCGATCGACTGAATCCAGGCTGTTTCTATCGTTTTCGAGTTTACTGCATCAGTGATGGAGGACAGAGTGCGGTAATACTTACATGCAGATTTTTTTTTCCAAGTTTGGTCAAATGAGATGAGATCATCAGATGCCACCTCAATTATTGAAATAAATCATAAATGTATAACGTAGGTGGTTAAATTTATAGTGACCACACTATTCTAATACATATAGTACTTAGCTTATGGTCAAAATTCAGTGAATATCTATTGTCTGGTTGCTGTTTAGCTTTGGGAGAATAAATATATGAAAACATTGCAGACAATTTTATAAAGATAAATTTTAAGATGATGCTCAATAATAACCCTACCTAACAAAAATAGAAACAAAATAATCGTAGGCTTATTTAGTGTACCGTAAGTTATGTGTATCAGGACAAACCATAAAATACCATTTACTGTTTAAATACAAATTCTAAATATCCACTTATTTCAGAAAAGTTTCACAATTATTTCACTTATTAGAGACCCCAAAACCAAAATGGACTTATATGTGCCATTGATTATATATGAGACATTTGTAATGTTCTGGAGAAGTATGTTTTTTAATAGAAGTGATTTTTTTGTTTTTTAATGAATTCAACCAAGAATGTTTCTTGGAGCATTCATAATTGTTATTATTTTTCAAATGGGATTTAATGCAATGAAAGTAGGGTTTTTTAATGAATTATAAGCATTTTGTTGAAAATGAGAGTACTGTGAAACTGAGTTGCAAGTCCTGCCCAACAGGCTTTGGATCCAATTGCTTCATTTTCTTTAATAAGAAAATCTTCCTAGGTTTAAAATAAATGCAAACCCCCACTCCCCTCCCCCTTATTCCTTTTCTGTTGATAGTCAAGTACAGTTTCAAATTATTGGTGCAATCTTTGTGTTTGTCTTATTTTCCTCTAACAAAAGCAGTCTGATTATTTGGCTTGGGGCATTTTCGTTTTGTTTTTGCCTTTTGTTTTGGCAGGTATCTGAATCTTTACTTGTGCAGACTCCAGCTGTGCCTCCTGGCCCATGCCTCCCTCCCAGATTACAGGGTAGACCCAAAGCAAAAGAAATACAGTTACGATGGGGTAATTTTCACTTTGGTAATAAATTATAATTAAGTTAGTATTAAATATATTCCTCTTGCTAAATTGCATGAATCTTTCCACCTTTAGGACCCCCTTTGGTCAATGGTGGATCACCCATTTCTTGCTATGGTGTGGAAATGTCTCCTGTAGAAAGAGATGAACCCAGAGAAGTTTACCAAGGTTCTGAAGTGGAATGTACAGTGAGCAGCCTTCTTCCTGGAAAGACTTACAGCTTCAGACTGCGTGCAGCTAACAAAATGGGGGTACGAAGACGGAGCTGACTGAATTATAATCACAGTGGTATTTCATATGACATACGTCATTGTACCCATTATTTGACCATTTTGCTTTCAACATGCAACTCCAAATTTTACAATTTTTAATAAGCCTCTGTTGATAAATAAGAGAGAAGTCAGTGTATACCATAACTTAATTGTTATAGAATCTCACTCAGTATTTTCAAACCCCACTTACACTATGTGACACTTTGGACTTCAGCTAAGCTAAAGCTTGCCTTTCAGGCAGTGCTAATAGGGTTTACTTTGTGAAAAGAGTAGAAACATGATCATAAGATGAAATACTTAGAGTTATTAAGTGTTTTGAGGCTGGTTAAATGCAGCATTTACTTTCAGTTTGCAACTAGTTGTGATTCATTTTTTGCCTAAAGGAGAAAACTTACATTCTAAGCATTCTGGTTTTGTGTGGGTTTTTTTAAAAAAAATATTATGTATGTACAACTCCATAAAATGGACAAAACAGGTGATGTCTCCATTTTACTGCTGAGGAAGCTGGGGCTCAGAAAAGCTAATAGCTGCCCCAGCAGTCACACAGACGAAGAAGTGGTGGAGGCCAGCCACTTCCTCAGACCCCAGAGCCAGCGCCCTTTCCACCCAACTGTGACACCTACCGTCCCTCTGAATTAAAACTTCTCTAAGGACAAAGCAGTGATTTCTTACTTTAACTGAGTTAGCACTGTGTTTCTTTAAACTACAGTATAAAATTTCATAAAGTTAAACTGACAAGTCTCTCCCCATTATTTCAGATTTTAGTAAACTGTGCTGTTTTATGTCTCATTCTCCAACTGAGTTCATTATATCTGTAAACTTAGTTACTTTTAAATTTCTTACATGCCAGTTTTATACACTTGGTTGGTATTCCTTACGTACGTCATTCCTTCCTTTCTGAAGTCATGATCTTGTCAGCCCCTCAAGGCTGCAGTACACTGGGATTAACATCTTTAGTGCTAGTGTCTTTAACCTATATTTTCAGGTTTGTGATAACCTGTCAAAATCATCTTAAGTAAATATTTGTTCTCTGTATTTCCAGAGAATTTAATTTTTACACCCTACTAAAGCTATTCTAAATTTTAAGGTATAATTTATGCCCATCACCTCTCATGCCTTTAATTGGTATCCATTTCTTCACCCTTCACAGAATTTTTTCTTATTTATTTGACCAACCCAATTGCTGAACGCCCCGCCCTTTTTACAAAAACCAATTCATGAAGTAATAGGGGCAAGTGAAGAAACTATAGTAAATGAAACTTTAAAACACCCCACATATTTACTTCCATGATCATTAATTAAATCTTTACTTTCTGTGATTTCTTTTAGAATTTTATGTCCAATTAGTCTTAAAGGAAAGGGATGATGAATTTGATTTTTTGTGAATATTTATGCAGAGCTGTGCAGTTGGTAGGTGAAAAATGAAAACACTAGTCAATATTTGTTTTTCTAGTTTGGACCATTTTCAGAAAAATGTGATATTACTACAGCCCCTGGACCACCAGATCAGTGCAAGCCCCCTCAAGTTACATGGAGATCTGCAACTTGTGCACAAGTGAATTGGGAGGTATTGTAATTTCCTTGACTTATATTTAAGTAATTGAAACAGTTTATATAAAAGAATAAAGACACTGTGCATTCATCTCCATAAATTATACAAAGAGTAAGTCCTAGTTAAATTCACTTGGTAAAAAGTGAATTCTTTTTTCTCTTTGAAGCATTTAAATAAGGTATATTTACATTACAAGTATTTAGATTCTTGTTTGTGATGTGCTTTGTATTTTATCAAAGGCTTTGTCTCGGTACTGAGATATTTAGCCACGGTGAGCTTAATGTTCAGAGCAAACATTCATAGGAATTACTATAATACTATTTCTCTTATGTTTATTATCTCTAGTATATTTATTGCATATAGTAATAATCAATAATGATAATTACATTTTCATTTTCCTTTGAAATTTAACAAAGAAAATGTCCTTGTACGATTTAACATTTATATTACTTAATAGAGTTGTTTTAAAGTATACTTACATTAAAGTACTCTTTCTAAAGTGTTTCAGTGATATTTCTACTTCTAATTGAAAACAAAGTTATACTTTTGACAAATCTTAAATTCAGGTGGCCTTAATGAATAAAAATGTAATATTAAACAGTTTAAATTCTGTTAAACATTTTTTAAAAATCCAAAAACAATTCAGTTTTTTATATGCTCAGGTAAAGAACATTTTTGCCCAAAAGCTATTTAATCATGTCAGGACTTAAGACCTTTATCCTCTTCTTAATTTAAAGGTCCCTTTGAGTAATGGAACTGATGTCACTGAATATCGATTGGAGTGGGGAGGAGTTGAAGGAAGTATGCAGATATGTTACTGTGGGCCCGGTCTCAGTTATGAATTAAAAGGACTTTCACCAGCAACTACCTATTATTGCAGAGTCCAGGTAAAGGCGGTCAGGGCCTTGTCACTTACTCTATCCAGAGTTTTGCGTCTTGTGAGCATTTTCATGATCGCGTCTTTACCTTTTGGGCTCTGTTAATTTGTAGGCTCTGAGTATTGTGGGTGCAGGCCCTTTCAGTGAAGTAGTAGCCTGTGTGACTCCACCATCAGTTCCTGGTATTGTGACTTGTCTTCAAGAAGTAAGTGATGATGATATAGAAAATCCCAATTATTCACCGTCTACATGCCTTGCAGTAAGCTGGGAAAAGCCTTGTGATCATGGTTCAGAAATCCTTGCCTACAGCATAGACTTTGGAGATAAACAGCCCTTGACTGTGGGAAAGGTTACAAGCTACATTCTAGACAATTTGCAACCAGATACAACATACAGGTACACAGTAAAAACTATGTTAATTTTTGCCTAGACCAGAGGGACACTTTAAATAGAATAATCATAAACTAAACTTTTTCTTTTTTTTTTAATATGGCACTTAGAATACGAATTCAAGCCTTGAATAGCCTTGGAGCTGGTCCTTTCAGCCACATGATAAAATTAAAAACTAAACCCCTCCCTCCTGATCCACCTCGTCTGGAATGTGTTGCCTTCAGCCACCAGAACCTTAAACTGAAGTGGGGAGAAGGAACCCCAAAGACATTGTCAACAGATTCTGTTCAGTACCACCTTCAGATGGAGGATAAGAATGGAAGGTAGGTGTTTCTAATTGCTTCTTTATATAGTTTCTCAGGTCTTAAGTACATAAATTTTTTTAACAATAGAAATAAGTTTTAAAAAACAGAGTTAGAAGTCTCATAAATAATTTTTAAGTATGCCATTTTTGAAACATCAGAAGACATAATGAAGATTTTCTGTTTATAATTGGGAGGGTGATGCAAGAGAGAAAAAATTAGGGGAACTACTATTTGGCTCTCATCTCTAACCCATTTCCTCTCTTCAAGCTAGTAAAAGAAACGTAATCTGTGCTGGAAAATAATCTCTTCAGTGCTTATTTCCAGCAAGAGGCAGTTTTTACAGTAAATCATTGATTGGCTTAAGGCCTTTGAGATCCTTGAAGGCAGGGATTATATCTCACCCTCCTCCACACCCTCACAGGGCCTGCACACTAAGTGAATGCAGTAGTTTACTTCCTCACCATCAGATCTTAGACTCTCTGAATAAATAGTCCAGTCCCCTGGCTACTCAGGTTCTTCTCTGTGCTACCATCCTTTACAGTCTCGTTACATCCATGCCATATTTTACCCCACTAAATCATGCATTTGAATTATAGTGTTACTCAAAATACGTGTGGTGTAAATTATTCAAATTCCAGTCTGGGTAATTTATTGATATTATATCCAAAATAAACAATGCCATATATCTTTCACAGCCGTTACTCTAATCTTTTAAGAATCTGGTGGGTTTTTTTGTTGGTTTTTCTTTTTTATTTGTTTGCTTTTTCACTCAGTTTATTAGAAATAATTTGTATGTCTGATAGATTCAGAGTACCAGGGACAGTATTTCCCAAGATTACTTTGTTTTTTGTGTTGGGTTTGTATCTTAGCCAAGTATTCAATAATGGAATATTCAAGGTACTTGTATATAGTACTCTCTATCAGAAGTACATACACATTTAAAATAGCATACAGAATTAAACATACTGTATCAACAGTAAGAGCATTACACAGAGCAAATAGTATTGATCATTTCCTGAAATCTGTGCCTCTATGAATGTTCGCCTTTGTTCTTGGCAGAATTTTATGTACTGTTTGTAGCCTTATCTCTGGAAGGAAATTCTTTGCCTTGCCACAGGTTTTTGGTATAGCCATTTATCTTTAATATATGTTGTTACTGTTAGGTTAATTAATTCTTTATTTTTATCCCCTTTCTAGCATCTACATTTGGGGTAGTGCAAGAAGGTTTACTGGAAACAGGTTTAATTGGTGTTTGGTTGAAAGATAATAGAACAAAGATTCTATTAAGTATAGATTATATTAGTTTATATTCTTATTTTAGCCGTAATTAATATTTAGCTAGCATCTAGAGAATTGTTGTAGGGTATGGGGTATGGTCTTTGGCTGTGGAAAATAAATAAATTAAAACGTTTTATGATACTGTAAATTTACCATATAAACTTAATGCACTAAATCAATTTAATATCTTTAGTTACTTTCTTTTGACTTTTCACAACTCTTTACACTTGCTGTGGGATCATGTCAGAATGCTACCTCAGCTGTTCCCTGACCACAGGTTTTATCATCGTTCACCTTTTTTCGACAGTGGTTTTGCCACTGGTTGTTTTCCTATCATTAAAAAAAAAAAAAAAAAAAAAAAAATTGGAGATTCAAAAGGCAAGGCTTATCTAATTACTGCTTCTTGGAAATACTCTTACTAAAGATTATTAAATATTTCTTCATTTTTAATCTAACTACAGTTTTCAGACTGTTAGAACTATATGAGTATTCATTATTCATTCCTCAGTTTCCAAAAATTTTTTAAATAGCCAATCAAAAATTTGGGGAACATTCAGCATACGGATAACATATATGATGTTAAACTTTCCATTGAACAGTTCAAGTGGATAATTTATGGGAAATTATATATTATCTCATACTGTTATGTAAATCTTAAGAAAACCTCACCAAATCAATTAAAATTATGCCTGGGAAAGGGAATTCTCTTTTTTATGTGACAAATTGTATGCCTATGACTCTAGTTAGAAATAATTTATATTGAAAATTGTGATGTACTGAGTATCCTTTAAAATGTAAACATTAAAAAACAGCAGTCAGAAACAAAGCTTATACCAGAAGCCTGAAGAGAAAAATTTAGCAATAAATTTTCAGGAAACCATGTCAAATTGGGAAATTTACTAATTCTGTGATTTTCATCATCTGCCGAAAAAACACAGATTTATTGTGTGACAAACCATTCCTGGCATTAAATTCTAGGAGTAACTTATTACTCCTAAATAATGTCTGAACTGTATTTTTTTTTTTAGTGGTTTTTAAACGTTTTTCATAAGGTAGTCAAGGTTTATTTTTCATAGGAGTCATTTCCATTTTAGGTTTATATCCCTGTACAGAGGTCCATGCCATACATACAAAGTACAAAGACTTAATGAGTCAACATCTTATAAATTCTGTATTCAAGCTTGTAATGAAGCAGGGGAAGGTCCTCTTTCCCAAGAATATATTTTCACTACTCCAAAATCTGTCCCAGCTGCCCTGAAAGGTAAGTTATACATCCTCAAGTTATTTTCTTTAATAATAAATTAAATGCACTTTTCATAAAGTACTTTTGTACTATTAAAATTATCATCCAGGGGGCTTCCCTGGTGGCGCAGTGGTTGAGAGTCCACCTGCTGATGCAGGGGACACAGGTTCGTGCCCCGGTCCAGGAAGGTCCCACATGCCGCGGAGCGGCTGGGCCTGTGAGCCATGGCTGCTGAGCCTGCGTGTCTGGAGCCTGTGCTCCACAACAGGAGAGGCCACAACAGTGAGAGGCCCGTGTACCGCAAAAAAAAAAAAAAAGAAAATTATCATCCAGGATGTGTCCAACATTTAAATTATAAAAAGGAAATTAGACAAGCCTACCTACTGGGACTTTCACTTAATAATAAAAGCTATTTTATCTGGCATATTGATAATCAGACAAGTGCTGGTTTTTGTCACTGATCTTTTTAATAAACATAAAAGTACTAAACTGAATAGGTAGGCTCGTTTTCTAATAGGGTTGTTTGCTATTTCCACTATTGTTACTTAAAGAAAAAAAATCACAATTCTGGTTGTTTTGAGTCATTGCTGTTTTCATTCGGATTTCAGGGAGAGAGCCAGGTCATCTGTTTAGCAAAACATAAATAAATACTTAGTTAACTTGAATTTTTAAATCAAATTTACATACATACACACATTTGTGTATATATTATATATTTAAAATTAATTTCAGCAGGGTTCTTACTTTAAAATGACCCTGGAAAGTAAAAAATACTAAAATTCCTCACCCTCTGAGGACAAATTACAAAGATTTCTGGTACAGTGTCCTGGATCATATACTTGAATGTATCATTTGTTAAGCAGATCCATAGTTAGCAAGACTGTTCTTTGAATAGTCTTTCTAATAATGCTGATGGATTTCACTGAGTTATTTTTCTGTTCCCTCATCTGGTTTAGTGTCTCTTTACCTTAAGAAGATTGCTGATTTTAACACCTTTGTACCCCACTATTGAGTGAGGCAGTCATATATGTGGTCAGGCAGCTAGGTGTATTTTTCAACTCATTCTCTTAGAAGATTTCTTAAATTATAAAATTTCATGTTCTAGTTATGCTCTTTGAAGTACCATAAAAGATGTTGTAGAACTGCCATTGGCTTTTTTTAGCTCAGGGAAAATAGTACTTATCTTTACAGATCTTTTAATCAGTCTGGCCATTGGAGTGCTTGTAGATTGTATGGCCTGGAGATGATAAGAGTTAGCCATTGACCGTTTCTCTGAAAATTTCAAAAATTCACTAATATTTATTTCAAGTTTGTAACTATGTTTTAAAGTCTGTTGATTTTGATTGAAACAAGTGTCTGTGTGATGTGCCACGTTAAAAATCAAGGAGAGCAGATGTTATTTATATTTGTTCTCTACAGCCCCCAAAATAGAGAAGGTAAATGATCACGTTTGTGAAATTACATGGGAGTGTTTACAGCCAATGAAAGGTGATCCAGTTATTTACAGTCTTCAAGTTATGGTGGGAAAAGATTCAGAATTCAAACAGGTATGTGCCAAAATATAATTCTATAGATACACACTTTCACCTTTTTCATTTTTATGTATTTTCAATGCAGGATTTGACTACCTTTATCTTCCTAATTCAAAAACATTTGTTCAGTGCTTACTATGTGCCAAAAAATAGTAACTACACAGTATATCAGGATTCAAAATCTTTGGGGTGTGAACTGCACTTAAACAGAGTATTCGTTCATTTGACAGGTATTTATTGAACTCTGTGCCAGGCACTCAGGATACAAGTGAACAAAAAGTCCTTGCCTCCGTGCAGCTTACATTCTAGTAGAAAAAGAGATTCTAAAAGCAGATAAACACATCAGTATATCATATGTTAGATAGTAATAAGCACAATAGAGAAAAAATAAAACTGGATAAAAGGATTAGGGAGTACTAGGGCGAGGGACAGCTAGTGCTATTTTATATAGGGCCGTCAGGTGACATTTGAACAGAGACCCCAAGGAAGTGAATATGGGGAGAAGAGTGTTTCAAGAAGCAGAAACAGTAGGTGCAAAGGCCCTGAGGCAGGAGCATGCTTGTTAAATTTACTGTACAAGACGAAGGCCACTATGGCTGGGGCGGCATGAGCAAAGGGAGGAATAATAAATGAAGTCAGGGCTTTAATGGTAGGGGGTCTGTGAGCGGGCATGGAGATCGTGTAGGGCATTATAGGTCATACTCTGACTTTTACTCCATGTAAAATGAGAAGCCAGTGGAGGATTTTGACCAGAGTAGGCACATGATCAGACACAAGATTATTGTGACCAGAGTAGGATGAGGACAGATGCAGAGACAACATTGAAGAGGCTTTTACAATGTTAGTAATAGTCATAGTTATAATGCAGTGTTGTAAATATGACAATTGACACAGTTATTATGGAAGCCTAGAGGAAGTGTCACCTTCCTGGTAAAATTTCAAAGATAGGTTCCTGGTAAACAGTGAATAGCCGATGAAGTGGGCAGCTGTCAGTGTCATTATGACTTTTATAAAGAAGTTTTTATGCAACTCAAAAGCCTTATTTCTGTAAGCATTTCATCTGCTTCTTCCTTTTTGCTGTTACTCTTCTTGATTTTGAGAGCTTTTAAGCTGGGTTGTTTTCATTTTAGTTTCTTATTTTATATTTTCTTTTCTCACTATTAAAAAATCATTCATCTGTTTTATTTCACTCTTCTGCTATTATAACTATTAATAATAGACTACCTTTCAATAAGGTATAATTTTTTCCTTTCAATTTTGCTAAATATGGAAGCATAATTTCTTAACCAAAATTACAAAAGGCCCCAAAGAGCTGGATTAAATTTGGCATGTGATTGTTTTTCTTTATTAAGCCATCTGCAAATTGACATGATAATTAGACTTGAATATGATTTATAGATAAGTAGGTTTCCTTCCAAGGAGGAAACAAAATTAATATTAAAGAAAATGTAATTTCATTACATATTTAAAGGAAATAGGGACCCCACATTTGAGTAGTGTATGAATTTTAATAAACATATCACTACATGAAACAGCAGTGCTAATTCTAATTTAACTTAAAAGCTAAATTAACCCTATCATCAATTTTACTTTAGATTGTAAGCATACTGTAAAACTTAAAATACTGATTTCCTTAGTTTCCTTAGAACTTCATCATATATATGCTCATCTAAATCTCTTAAATGTTTATAAAATTTTATGATTTATTGGCAAGTTGTATTCCAGAAGTTTAAAGGTCATTTTTTAAGAGTTCAATCTCATTCATGGGATTTTAATATTTTACTTAAAATTGACTTGCTATTCAACACACATGTATTAAATACTACATATGAAGAATTTGAGGGGGCTACATTATTAATAAGTTACTGTTCTGATTTCAAGAAAGTTGTTTATTAGACGTTAGCAAGCAAGCAGAAATTTCATAATCATGACATTCTGTGTAAGCAAATAAAAGATCATGATAAAGATAAAACATACTTTGTTAAAAGGAATGATTTTTTTTTCCAGCTGGACTTTGGAATGTTTTCCAAAAGGATTATCATTAAAGGGAGTCTATTTGGGGAGTTGATGAGCTTAGGAGGAACCATGAACTCTCAAGTATGACTTGAGTAAGGCTCAAGAATGGAGTGTGTACAGTGGGGGAAAGCAGGGGGTATGCTTGTGGGATGAACTGGGAGATTGGGATTGACATATATACACTAATATATATAAAATAGATTACTAATAAAAAATAAAACTAAAAAAAAAAAGATTGGTGTAGTGGAGGAGGCCAAGTCTTAGTGGGTCTTCATTCTACAGCAGTAGGAACTGTTGATGTTTTTAAGAAGAGGATTATTATTTATAAGTTGGTGGTTGAGTTTCTAGGCTAGCCTATTTAAAAACTGTTTAACCTGTAGTGTTGCTGGGTTTGGGGACCTGGAAGCAAATTAGCCTAGCAGCAGCCAGTACTTACGACCCTGGGCCAAACTTAGAAACATATTGATTTCTTTACATTCTTCCCTTGCTTCATCCCTCTTTGATCAGTCAGTGGCTTTCACCAAACTCTTGCTGCCTTCTTGCTGCTCTGTGCCCTGCTCTGCAGCACCTCCCCGAGGCTTGGCCCCGTTCTCTAAAATTACACTCTTCCTCTGACTCTTGCCTCCCTCTCTCACATACATCATAATTCTCATATACACAGTATAACTGACCTTATTGCCATTAGGAAAAAGACTCTTTCCTTGGGAAAATTCATGTCAAAAGTCGAGTGTCTGCTGGCTCTTTAATCTTCCCAGAAGTGTATACATTTTTTAAAGCAAGCACTTTTAAACCAAAAGCAGCATTTCAAGTGGTATAACAGGGTGAAGTGAAAATATTGGGGGACAGTAGAACCACTGTCAAAGCAGATAAGCAACATCTGGGAGTCTGTACCTAAGAGAGTTCTTGTGTCCAAGCTCATTAATGTTACAAATACCAGAAAAATTAATACAAATTGGCTTATAGGAGCTTCCCTGGTGGCCACTAGTTAAGAATCCGCCTGCCAATGCACGGGACACAGGTTCGAGCCCTGGTCCGGGAAGATCCCACATGCCGCAGAGCAACTAAGCCTGTGCGCCACAACTACTGAGCCTGTGCTCTAGAGTCCGTGAGCCACAACTACTGAGCCCACGTGCCACAACTAATGAAGCCCACGCGCCTAGAGCCCATGCTCCGCAACAAGAGAAGCCACCACAATGAGAGGCCTGCGCACTGCAAGGAAGAGTAGCCCCCACTCGCCACAACTAGAAAAAAGAAAGCCTGCATGCAGCAACAAAGACCCAATGCAGCCAAAAATAACTTAAAAAATAAATTAATTTAAAAAAATTTCAAATTGGCTTATAAAGTATAAATCCTCTTAGGGAGAAGCCTGTAGGTAGGTAGGTTGATTGAGGAGCTTAATGAAGTCATCAGGGACATAGTTTCTCTCAGTGTTCAGTGCCTGCCATGGGGAACTTACACTTCCTTATTCACATTCAGGGAAAAGATAGCACTTGGGTTACAAAGTCATCCCTGAAGCAGTGACTGTGCCAGGGCTTAAGCCAGCCAGGGCCCACCTCTGGACTTAAGCCTCGCCAGCTTCTCCTAGTACAGGGGCTGTACTTTGGATACCTCATCCAAAATTAGGGTATTGTTGGCAATGTAGGAGAACGGTTGCTGGGACAGTGGCCTGTTGGATTCTATACAATTTCTTCCATTCTTAAACTTCTGAACTTGAGATTCTCAAAAACAGTTGTTCCTCAGAGTGGCCTGCAGACCAAATAAATCTGAATGTCTAGGAGTGGAACCCACAATTCTGTTTTTCTTTTGCTGGTTTTGTTTCTTTGTTCTTAAGTTCCAAGTGGTGCTTAAGCACCGTAAATTTCAGAATTGCTCTAGAGATAGCCTCATCCACCAGAGGACACACAGCAGAAACAAGAAGAACTACAGTACTGCAGAGCCTATGGAAAAAAAACCACATTCACAGAAAGACAGATGAGATGAAAAGGCAGAGTGGTACATACCACATGAAGGAACATGATAAAACCCCAGTAAAACAACTAAATGAAGTGGAGAGAGGCAACCTTCCAGAAAAAGAATTCAGAATAATGATAGTGAAGATGATCCAGGACCTCGGAAAAAAAATGGAGGCAAAGGTCGAGAAGATGCAAGAAATGTTTAACACAGATCTAGAAGAATTAAAGAACAAACAAAGAGGTAGGTGAACAACACAATAACTGAAATGAAAACTACACTAGAAGGAATCAATAGCAGAATAACTGAGGCAGAAGAACGGATAAGTGACCTGGAAGACCAAATGGTGGATTCACTGCCATGGAACAGAATAAAGAAAAAAGAATGAAAAGAAATGAAGACAGCCTGAGAGACCTCTGGGACAACATTAAACACAACAACATTCGCATTATAGGGGTCCCAGAAGAAGAAGAGAGAGATAAAGGACCAGAGAAAATATTTGAAGACATTATAGTCGAAAACTTCCCTAACATGGGAAAGGAAATAGCCACCCAAGTCCAGGAAGCGCAGCAAGTCCCATACAGGATAAGCAGCAGCAAGGGAAAAATGACAAATAACATACAAGGGAACTCCCATAAGGTTAACAGCTGATTTCTCAGCAGAAACTCTACAAGCCAGAAGGGAGTGGCATGATATACTTAAAGTGATGAAAGAAAGGGAAGAACCTACAACCAAGATTACTCTACCGGGCAAGGATCTCATTCAGATTCGATGGAGAAATCAAAAGCTTTACAGACAAGCAAAAGCTAAGAGAATTCAGCACCACCAAACCAGCTCTACAACGAATGCTAAAGGAACTTCTCTAAGTGGGAAACACAAAAGAAGAAAAGGACCTACAAAAACAAACCCAAAACAATTAAGAAAATGGTAATAGGAACATACATATCAGTAATCACCTTAAACGTGAATGGATTAAATGCTCCAACCAGAGGACACAGGCTTGCTGAATGGATATAAAAACAAGACCCATATATATGCTGTCTACAAGA